TGTGTTGCATGATTTCCAAGGGTCTTGCCAGTTCTCAACTCCTACATTTCCAAAGGAATTAACTGGAATTAGTCCCAATTAGTCTAGTTTTGACTCATGATCCCAAGACCTGTGGAGGCAGGTTGGAGAGAGATGAGTATGGACCATAAACATCAAGGAGGACCTGCCTGTATTAATAGAGATCTGGATCACCACGGAGCACAGAGCAAGATGCTAACCAGAAGGAAAGTCCAAGTCAGGTCAGCAAATAACTACAAAGAACCTGACAGTAATGCAACCCTTACCCACCAACCCCAAACTTGCTTTTCTTCCTAGATAATTTCTCAACCTCCATGTTTTCTCAGAACATCTCATCCTTTTAATCTTGCTGTTGTTTCCCTAGCTAGTAAATTAATAAATGCTGATATGATCTCAGAATTAATTTATTTTAGAAATTTACATCACCAATGTGCTTAAAACACTAGATGTGCCAGGTGCAATGGTGCACACTTGTATTCTCAGTGACTCGGAAGACTGAGGCAGGAGGATCACAAGTTTAAGACCAAACTCACCAATTTAACAAAACCTTGTTTCAAAATAAAAAAATAAAAATGGCTGGGGACAGCCAGGCACAGTGGCACATGCCTGTAATCCCAGCAACTTCAGAGGTGAATGCAGAAGGATCTCAAGTTTGAGGCCAGCCTCGGCAATTTAGCAAGACCCTCAGCAGCTTAGCAAGACCCTGTCTCAAAATTTAAAAAGGGCTGGGGATACAGCTCAGTGGTAGAGTGCCTCTGAGTTGAATCCTTGGTACAAACAAAACAAAACAAAAAACAGAAACAAAAATACCCCAAATGTTTGACGTACCTCTCTAGGCCCCTTTCCACGAGTATTTTCCCAGGCCTTCATGTTACATCTCCACCCACTGTCTTTTGTTGTTCTGAGTACAGCAATTTTTTTTTCCAACCCCATCAGTCACCCTCTGCTGAGACTGTGCCATGATCTGAAAATGATTTGTCCCCCTCCCCATCAACTCATACAGAAGTTTAATCCCTGATGTCACATATTAATAGTATTAAGAGTATGGAACTTTATCCACTTTGGTGTTTAGAGGTGGAGCCTTTGGGAAGTGATTAGGATTAGATAAGGCCATTAGGGTGGAGCCCCCATATTAAATCCTGATGGATTTTTAAGGCAGAGGAGGGAAGGAGGGGAAAGGTAGCGAGGGGAAAGGGAGGAGGGAAGGAGGGAAACAGACTACTATACATATGTGTGCTCCCTGCCTCATGCCATGTGATGCTCTGTGCCACCTTGGGACTCTGCCAGAAAGAAGGCCATCACTAGATAAGGCCTCTTGACTTTGCACTCCAGAACCATGAGCCAAAATAAATCTTTTTTATTTGTAAAGTAGCCTGCCTCAGGTATTTCATTATAGTAACATAAAACATATTAATATAGCTGGGCATGCAGCATTCCTGTAATCTGAGCATTTTTGGGAGGCTGAGGTAGGATTGCAAGTTTAAAGACAATCTAGCAAGACCTTGTCTCAAAATAAAAAATAAATGGTCTGGAGATTGGTGATGTAGCTCAGGAGTTCAATCTCCAGTACTACTACTTACTACTACTAACAAACAAACAAAAAATCCAACTGACAAAATAGAGTGATTTGTTCCACTGTGCTGCTTGCTGAGCTAAGTCCTATTTAACACCTCTCATTGAAATCTCTTTAATCACCCTGACTAGGTAATTGCCCCTACTATACAGGAGCCATAGTTACCTCCACTTGATCTTTATAGCACTTGTTGGCTTTACTTTCTTCAGTGTCTATCTTCCCAATCACAACAAGAGCTCCAGGAGAGCAGAACCTACAGCTGCCTTGGGCCCTTTGGAAACTGTGGGACTCTCAATAAGATGGTGTTAGAAAGCATTTATTATAGATGTAGGCTCGTATTGGGTGCTTTTGAGGAGGGTTCAAAGAAGTTGGATTTGCTCTAGATCAGATATGTCAGAAAGTATGGGTTTTTCTCTTTCTTTTTTTCTTTTTTGGTACTGGATTGTGGGGATTGAACTCTAAGGCATTCAACCACTGAGCCTCTTCCCCAGCCCTATTTTGTGTTTTATTTAGAGATAGGGTCTCACTGAGTAGCTCGAGGGCCTTGCTAAGTTGCTGAGGCTGGTGGTGAACTTGCATTCCTCATGCCTCAACCTCCTGAGTCACTGGGATAACAGGTGTGCGCCACTGTGCCTGGCAGTTTTTTTTACTTCTTTTCATTCCTTTTGAGCACTTATCCAGCACTGTTCTTACCTATATCCTAGGCATGCAAGATCAGAGCAGTGACTGGAGCTGAGGCTGGGGCATCCTTTGTGAGGTGGCCTTAGTGACAGAGGTGCTACGAAGCAGAGGCTGCCCCACCCCAAGTTGACGGGGTCAGCCACACCAGCCTTGCCCTCCAGTTCCCTGACACCATCTGCAGAACCTAAGCACTGTCATGCTGCTGCCGCTGCTGGGCGCCTGTGCTGTGGTGGGGCCATTCCAGGGTCCTGAGTGGGAGCCAGTTCGGGGCCTGATCTCACAGGATTGCAGCTGTAGAGACCCCCGGTGCTGTGGCAATCTACTTGTTCTCTGCCTCTTTCTGATCTGGCAGGTCCGGCACTACTGGCACCACTTCACCAGGAATCGCCTGCGCAGAAGGATTATTATCAAGGTGAGGGGGCCCTTCACACTTTCCCTCGGCACCGTCATTGCCACAGCCACATGCTACAAGGACCCTGTCATATGCCCTGTGTACCAGAGATGAGTAGCTCAGACTGGTTAGAGCAAGCATCATCCAGACCCCAATATAGGAGTTACTCTCGACTCCTGTCTTTTCCTTGCTCCACACATTGAATCCACTTGCAAGCCACGTCTCAAATCTGATCACATCTTGAAACCTCACCATACCACCTTGGGCAGAGCTGCCAGCAAGACTCACCTGAACCTCAGGAACAGCTTCTGCTTGGTCCTGTTGCCTGTCTGACCCAGCCGTGGCAGTCTTCCATAGTATGTACCTGCCATAATGACCTTTCTTTCTTCCTACCCCACCCACTTCGGTGCTGGAGATCAAATCCAGGATCTTATGCATGCTGGGCAACTGCCCAACCACTGAGCTATATCCCCAGCCCTGCCTTCTCTCTCCCTCTCTCTCCCCCCACCCTCTCCCTATAAGTTGAATTCAAAGATAATATGCACACACAAATCACAAATGTATAGACCAGCAAATTTTCACAAATAGAACACACCCAAATGCCAATATCCAGGTTAAGAAACAGATCGCTGGGCAGACGAGGGTTGCTTAGTGGTAGAGTGTTTGCCTGGCTTTTCTGCAATCATATGGCAAATGTTCTATGCCTGGTTTAAATCCAACAGTATACTTGTAGGCCAGAAAAAAAAAAACTTTTAAAACAAGTCATAGCATTTTGCTGCTGAAATGTTTCCTGTGAATACATTCCTTGTCAAATTCAGAGTAAAACCCGAACTTCTAACCCCGTCTCTAAGACCTTTTCTTGCTGCTGGCTCCATTCTGGACATATGGGCCTTCTTGCTTTTCCTGAACACATGATCTTATTCTATCTTCAAGGCTTTTCCAAATGTCTCCTTTGCCTACAATGCTCTTTCCTCACTTGTCACTTGGTTTGTCCCTCACTTCCTTCAGGCCTCCATCAAATACCCTCTCCAGTAACCCTTTAATGGCTACTTTGTGTAAAGAAGCTAACCCCCATCCCCACACTCTGATTTATTTGCATTTAAATACTTTTTGATACCTAACATTATGTTATATATTTGGTTATTGTCTTTCTTGCATGTCTAGAATACAGCTTCCAGAGGGATTTTGTCTTGTGCCCAGCCCAGAATAATCTCTCAGTCTTTTTTGAATGAATGAACACTGTTTGCCTTAAGGGGGTGACTTCTCCTTTCCTGAGCCTAGGCATCTTTCTTGATAATGGGGATAGTCATTCTGATCTGTGGGGATTATATAAGCTAATCTATGTACAACATTTTTAAAATGTTTTTTAATTTGTTCTAATTAAGGAATTTTGCTTTTTTGGATCTCATCTACAGGTGCCATTGCAGAAGTGGGCAATGCCCTCCATGAGATGTGAAATTTTCTTTAGGCTAGCTCCTGAATTCGTCAGTCCTGGTGATTTCAGAGGCTGTGATGCTCATGTCCAACAATGGGTACAAAAGCAGAGGTGGAGATACCGAAAGAGCCTTTTAGAATCATGGACCCAGAACCTGTTCTCTTCACAAAATCTGCTTCAGGACTCATCTTGGGGTGCTCACACCTCGCATGATCCCATCTTTTGTATCTCCTCCTTTTCAAGCACCTGTCCACTCTCTCAGGACAGTTCCTGGGAAACATGTCAGGTATCCTGGTGTCTCAAGGGCAGCCAAACTCACTCTGCCCTAGACACATGCCAAAGGATTGGGCGACTGCTGGTTCACTCCCAGGAGAAGTTGGTACCACTGGAGCATGTCCTCAGCAGAAAAATCTGTTCCCCTCCCATGACATTTGTCATCTCTCTCCCAAAGCTCCCTTCAGCTCAGAGGCTGCAATTCTGCTCTGGACAGTTTCTGCCTGATCCTGCCCATCAACAAATGGTAATATCCACCTGGAAGTTCTGGAATAACCCACAAGACACCTGGGCACCATTGAGTGAAACCCAGACAATAGGCAGAGAGTATTCTAGAGAGACTCAGGCCCCAGGGTGGGCAAACCAGAGAGAGAGCAGAGGGGTATATGCTTGGGAAATCCAGGCATCTAGGGGCCAACTCTCAATAGACTTTGGAATGGAGCATTGTGCAGAGGCTAAGGATCTGGAGTGCAGAAACCAGTCACTGGTTATAAATGAAACTGATGGAGAGATCCTGATTCCGGGGCAGAAGAACTGGATGGAAATTGAAAATCAAACCCAAATTGAGGAAGTAGGGAAGAAAATCCAGAGGGAGGCAGGAGGTAAGAACCCTCCTGAAACCCAGATTCACATGGGAGAGAATCAAGAACAGTTAAGATGTAAAGTTGATGCAGAGACCCAAACACCATGGTGGGGATACCAGGAGAAGAGTGGGGGTGGGGGTACTTTGGAGATTCAGACATTTGAGAGGAAGAACAAGAAAGATCCCAGGAAGGAGGAAGAGGGAGCGATTCAGGCCCATGGACTAGGGAAGCAGGGCCAGACTGGAGATGAGAATGCTGCGGAGGCCCAGACTCCAGAGTGCAGGAAACAAAACCAGACTGGAGGTGACCCTAGTGCAGAAACTGAGGCAGAAGAAGGGAGAAACAAGGATCAGATTGGAAATGAGGATGCTGTGCAAACCCCGACATCTGGGAGGGAGAACCTGGAAGATGTCAAACAAGAGAATAGAACAGGGAGCCAGGCCCTGGGATGGGGCAAACAGGAATGCAGCAGAAGTGATAATATTATAGAAATCCAGGCACTCATGGGGGAGAAACAGGGTCAGGGTGGAGGTGAGAATGCCAGAGAGACTCAGGCATCTAGGGGAGAGAAACAGAAACTCTCAAGACATGCAGTTCAAGTGAGGCAGGGAAACCAAGGCCTGGGAAAAGGAGAGGAGGCTGTGCGACCCAGGATGTCTAGGAGGAAGAAGTTGAAGGAGATAAGAGAGGAGGATTGGGTGGTGATCCAGACACCCTGGTGGGGAAACCAGAGCCCAGTAATGAATGAAATTGACAGGCAATTCAAGATATTATGTTGGGGGAATAAGAACCAAATTGGAGGTGGACCCAGAGCAAAAATTCAGTCACCAGAGGAGAAAGATAAGAGGAAGGATGGAGATGAGGATGGTATAGATACCCTGGTGCTTGAGGCAGAGAACCAGGGATTATTAAGAAATGAAGTGAATGAGGAGACCCATTCAGCAGGAAGGAAGAATGAGGAGCAATTTGGAGTTGAGAATGGAGCAGACATTCAGGCACTAGGGAAGAGAAATCCAAGAGAGTTTAAAGACAAGAATGCTACAATGAACCAGGAACTTGGGGGAGAAAATCAGGGTCAGTTAGAAAATGAATTCCATGGAAATATTTGCATACCACAGTGGAAGAATCAGGAGCATATTAGAGGCAAGGATGGTGCAAACACCCAGATACCTGAGGCAAGGAACTGGGGAGAATTAACAAGTGAAAGTGATGGAGAAACCCATTCAGCAGGGTGGAAAAAAGTAGAGCATATTGAGGGTGAGAGTAGTGAAGAAATTCTGTTACAAGGGATGAGAAATCTGAGAGAAGCAGAAGAGGATGATGGTATAGAAACCTGGGCAGGTGGGGAGAGAAGCCAGAGTCACTCAGGGAGTGATATAGATAGGATGATTCATTCATCACAATGGAAAAACCAGAAGCAGATGGAAGGTAAGGATGGAACAGAAATTCTGTCCCCAAAGAAGAGAAAACAGAGAGAACCTGAAGGTGAGAATGATATAAAAACCCAGAAGCCTGAGAACCAGGGACAGTTAGAGAATGTAATTGGAAGGAGCCATTCCCCAAGAATGGGGAGCTGGGGGAAGACTGAAGAAGAGAACATTGCAGAAAATCAGGCATCAGAGGAGAAAAACCAGAGAGAGGCTGGAATTGAGAATGGTAGAAAGGTTCACATACCTAGGGAGAAAAATCAGAGTCTGCTAAGAAGTAAAGTTCATAGAAAGACCTATTCATCAGAATGTAAAGTTCACAGAAAAACCTGTTCATCAGGATGTAAAGTTCACAAAAGGACCTGTTCATCAAGATGTAAAGCTCACAGAAGGACCTGTCCACCAGAATGTAAGAAACAGGAAGAGATTGGAGGTGGGAATGGTGCAGAAACTCAAATACGAGGGAAGAGAAACTCAAGAAGGACTACAGGTGGTGACAGCACAAAGATGCAGGCATCTGTGGAAGATGACCAGGGACAGTCCAGAAGGGAAATTGATGGAGAGGTTCAGAAACAAGGGCAAGGAAACCAGAACAAGGGTGGAGATGCTGCTGCTGCTGCTACAGAAATCTGGAACGTAGAGAGTCAGAGAAAGTACAGAGCTAAGGATGATGGAGGGCCTCAGACATCCAGGAGAGGAAACACCAGCCAAATCAGAGAAAAGGATGCTATGGGGGCCAGTCACCAAAGGGAATATCCTTCAGGTGAGAGGCCCACAGGCAGGAAATGCAGCCGGGCTGGGCCAGCCACCCTCACTGGCTCTAGATATGAGCCCTTGGGACAAGAACAGGTAGCAGCTGTAGACAGGGTAGCTGAGGCTTCCTGTCCTGAGATGAAGCCTCGCCCCCACTTGGGTGAAGTTTTCCTGCTGGCTACTGGGGAGGGAGAGCATTTGACCAGCCAGGGCATAGCCCCTGCCAGGGAGTACAAAGCCCGGGTCAGACTAACCTCCCAGCAGGCCCAAACAGGATCCCGGAGAAAACCACAAAAGCACAAAGGGGTGGATCCAGGAAAGATCCACAGAGTGACACAGCCCCAGAACCCACAGTCTCTGGCTGCTCCCTTTGGCAAGCCCTCTGCCTGTCCCTCTCTTCTATGTGGCCAAGCCCTCCAAGCTACCGCTACTTTGGTGGGTATTCCAACTACCCTCACCATCCCGCCCAAGTGGCCAGTCCTCAAGAAGAGCAAACGACTGCTCTTGGAGTCCCTCATGCGTCGAAGGATTGCACATCTGAAGTGGGGCCTCCCCCGGCGCATCCTGGAATCTTATTTGCTCTTTAGCTTCTTCGGATCTTACTCACTCCCCTGGGCTGGGGTGAGGCTGCCTGAATTAGGCAAAGGCCAGGAGCTCCAAAGGCAGCAGGAAAAGCATTGTGAGGCCCAGGGCTCCATGCCAGGCTTTAAATATCCAGAGAGGTTCCAAAGGGTTCTGTCCTCTGATGGGAAAAGATCAAAACTTCCTACACAGGCCAGGGCTTTGGAGAGGTGTAGACCACACAGGTCAGAGCCAATGGGCACTTCCATTCCACCTGAGAAACCCAGGAGAAATAAACCACCAGGGGGCGCCAGAGAACCACAGATCCAGGAAGAGGCCTCTAAGGCCAAACTCCCTGTTCCCAAGAATCCCAGGCCATCGGCAGAGTCTGTGAACTGGTGCTCCTCAGAAAGGGTACCAGAGCCTTCCAGTGAGAATAGTAAGGGCAGGAAAGTGATCAGGCCAGATGTCTCCCAGAAGGCAGAGAGGGCTCCCAGAGAAGTGAGGACTTCATCTTCCAGGGCCAGCCATGACCCCTGGAAGAAGGAGCACATACTCTGGGAGGCCTCTCAGTTCCCCAGACATAAATATCAGCAGCCCACACACTGGAGAAGAGAAAGCCTGGAGCCTGCAGAGGACAGAGGAGCTAGGCAGCTGCCTCCCTCCGTTTCCACAGACTCCTCCAGCATTAAAGGAAGTCTCCACTCTAAGACAGCCAAGCTGAGCATGACCCTCCTGCGTAAAATGTCCTGGTCCCCACAGCTGGCCAAGCCCAGGAACTCAGTCCCTAGGCTTTCCAGAGTGGGTAACCCTCATGCACGGGAGGACAGCATCAGAGTCCATACTGCTTCGGAGAGGGACCATCAACCACCAGGGCACTGTAGTGCTGGGGTTTCTCTTCCTAGGACAAAGACCCCCCAGGGTCAGAGACCCCATGGGGCTCCAAAGAATTCATCAGCTCCTAAAAAGTTCGGTTTTATGAAGCGTTTGAGATGTTTTCTCTTCCAATGTGGTCTTAAAAAGTAGGTTGCAGGCCCAGAGTCCTCAGGACTCAGAGAAGGCACAAGAGTGGTTTGCTCACCCTCAGAACCTCTAATAAAATTATTTGGGACCTGTAGGATTTACATTTCTTTGGCATATCATGTTTTTTGAGTGTCTCTTTTTAGGGTTTGGCAGACTTTGTGCGCAGGGCAGAAATCACTTCAAGTCTGTGGTTTGTTCCTGTTCTTTGTCTGTCTGTCTCTCTCTCTCTAATAGGGATTGAACCCAAGGACACTCTATCATTACCATAGAGCTACATCTTCCAGCCCTTTTTATTTTGTACGTTTAGCTTTTGTTGTTGTTGTTGTTGTTTGTTTTGTGTTTTGTTTTTTGCAGTCTGGGCATCAAAGCCAGGGTTTTGTGAATGCTAAATAAAAATTCTATCATTGAGCTGTATCTCCAGCCCTATCCCTGAAATGTTAACATTTTTCTGTGTTAATATTTACTTTTCTCAAACATAAAAGACTATTTCATAATCTTCCATTGAATAACAAAATTGAATAACAAAACTATTGTTTTCTAAACTACTCTGCCCTGGAGAGCAATTTTTCTAATCACAGAGCCTTTGAATGCAGAAACACAGCTCTTGAACTTTTACCTCCTTCAACATTAACCAGTTTCTGGGCACATCTGTGTTATTGCCCTGTTGATTGTTGGCTTGTAATTGTTGATATATTCTATGGTAAAATATTTTCTTTTTCAGTATTGCTTGTG